CCGCCCCGGAAGTCACCCTGATTGGTCAAAATATCCTCTCGGGGCGGTCCTTTCGGCACAAAACCCCTCTTGATTGGTAGACGGTGGGGGGGAAGTTCTTAGAGGGGCCACATGACACACTTGCTTCCGGTCAGGTGGCACCTTGACCCCGGAAGTAATACCCCCACGGGGTGGGACTTCCGGTAAAAGGTGGGAGGGACAAGGGGGGGGTAAGGGGCGGGGCTTAAGGGGTCAAGGGGTGGGGTTAGGGTTTGATTGACGGTAGGGCCCTTATACTACTCCTGAGGGAAGGAGAGGGTGGCATGCACGAAACTCCATGCAAGGCTGGGACCCAGCATGAGGCTGTTTCTTCCTCTGGATCCCTTGGCTCTGGGGGAAGGGGGTGCGGCTATCTAGGCCAGGGGGCTCCCACGGCTGGGATCTGGAAGGGAGGGAGTGTGGGTATCTGGGCAAGTGGGGGACCCATGGCTAGGCTCTGGGGGGGAGGAGGAAGGGTATCTGGGTCAGGGGGGTCCCATGGGTGCTCTAGGGAGGAAGGGGTTGCGGGTATCTGGGCCAGGGGGGCCCGTGGCTGGGCTTGGGGAGTGGGGGGAAGGAGGGAGTGCAGGTATTTGGACTGAGGGCCCCTGCGGCTGGGCTCTGGAGGGGAGAGGGTTGGGGTGTATTGGCTGGGATGGGCCCCATGGCTGGACTCTGAGGGAGAGGGGTTGTGGGTATCTGGCCACCTGGCTGGGCTCTGTGGGGTAAGAAGGCAGAGAAACAGGACTGGGTTGTCATAGGGTTGTTTTTAACTCTCTACTCTTGGGGGAATTTTTGTGTGTGTCTGTATTGTTACAGACATACTTGCTGATAGGTATTTTGAAATAAATTACCAAAATAATTGAAACTGGCATGATTATGTAGTGTTATTTTGACAAATAAAATCTGAAGAATTTTGCAAAATTTTAAAATATTGTGTGCAGAATTTTAATATTTTTGGCACAGAATGTCCCCACAAGTAAATCTCACCAGGGGCCTCATCAGAGAGAGACAAATGTCACACAGATGGGCTGAAACGTTGCCAAAAGCTTAACTAAAACAGTGACACTTAATGGCTAGCAAATTGGCTACAATTGGTTTTGTGGGTGCCCAGCATGTTGTCAAATCAAGCCCATTTTTGTCTGTTAGATGGAGATAACAAAATTTACCCATGCATCACAGCTTGAGGGTGTGAGAATTAATGATAGATATTAATGTTTGTAAAGAGCCTTCAGAAATGTAGATGATATAAAGATTCATAGAACTTAAGGCCAGAAGGAACTTTTCTGATAATTTAATCTGACCTGCCGGAGGCCATGGGATTTCACCCAGAAATTCCTGCAATGGAGGGAAATATTCTTCCCTAGTATGTAAGTGACTACTACTGAACTAGCTCATAGAAATATGCTGCAGAAGGGCATAATATCTATTTATTTACATCACCAAGACTTGAAGCCATTACTGCCTGTAGGTAAATTCATGTGCAGAAGCTGATATTTTTCTGAAAATTCATGAAATACAGCCTGGGGTAAAGGGCTGCCTTTTCCTTCAAGTGAAATAAATGTTTTCATGGCAATAATTATTGATTTTGTAGAGAAATTTTGCAGTTTTTGCAACAAAATGGCCATTTTACAGGAGAAAAATGCTGAAGTGGTTTCCCACCATTGAGCCTGATGTTCCTCACACTTACAGTGGAGTAAAGAGAGAGCAACTCCATTAACACCAGCAGAGTTTCACCAGTGTAAAACCAGTGGGAGTGAATGGAGAATCAGATTAGTTGCATGGAGAAACTGCCATTAATTTGTATGAAGAATTTCAGGCAGGAATGGAAAATGATTTGCCTTTTAGTGGCCAGATAAACAGGTGATGTTTTTAACTAGTGATCATGTATTCTTTTCTTTATTATTGTGTCATAATAATGCAAATTACAGAAAAATGTGCATACCCCAAGGAGTTTATCTTGTAGGTGCGTGAGGGGTGTGGACTGGGGAACACAGAGAGCAGGAGGTCCTGGGTTAGCAGTTTGGATGGCAATTAGAATCTCTCTGCATTGATTTCACATTGTTAGGGTTTGAGTGTGTCTCTCTCTGCCCCTAACACAACTAGGGTGACCAGATGTCCCAATTTTTATAGGGGCAGTCCTGATATTTGGAGCTTTTTCTTATATAGGCACCCATTACCCCCCAACTCCTGTCCCGATTTTTCACACTTGCTGTCTGGTCACCCTAAACACAACAAAGAGTTCAAACCCACTGGGGCAGATTCTGTCCCCAGCTGAGACCCCTTTATGCTACTGTGGGGCCAGAAGAGCTCCCTGACATAGGCATCCCTACGCTGTCTCCAGGGCCGGCTTTAGCAAGTGCTGGGCCCGATTCCTGGGGCTTGTACTCACTGGGCGGCGCTCCCAGTCTTCGGCGGCACTTCGGATTGCCAGCCAGGGGAGGGGGGCCGCGGGGCTTGCTGCGCTCCGGCTGTGGGAGCAGGGCCGGGGGCTCTGGCTGGGGTTGTGGGGCTGCCGCGCTCCGGCTGGGGTCGCGGGCTGGGGAGTGGGGCTGTGGGGCTTGCCACGCTCTGGCCAGGGCCGCGGGGCCGCCGCGCTTTGGCCGGGGCCGCCGCGCTCCAGCCGGAGCTCCAGCCAGGAGAGCGGGGCAGCAGGGCTTGTCGCGCTCCAGCTGGCGCTCTGGCTAGGGGAGCTGGGCCGCTGAAGACCCCGGAGCGGAGCGCCGGCAGGGTGAGTAAAAAAAATTTAAAAGGCACCTAAGGCGCGGGGCCCTCTTAGGCACGGGGCCCGATTCCAGGGAATCGGGCGAACCGGCCTAAAGCCGGCCCTGGCTGTCTCACATACACAGGACCCTGAGTGTGTGGCAGTATAAAGGAGTGCTGGGGGAGTGGCTGAGGTGGCATGGAACAGCCAAAGAGTGGCTGTGAAGAAGCCACCATTAGCTCAGCCCCTTGTCCAGGAAAGCCCCACACACTTCCTGTTGAGATGCTGGGAGCCCTTAGTTGTCACTGAACATAACTGGAGTTGAGAGCACTCAATGCTTTGCAAGGCCAGCCCTTGGGGTATGTCTACACTGCAAAAAAGAAAAAAAAAAGTTAACTTGAGTTAAAATAGTAATGAAGACACAAAACTCCATTTTTAAATTTGGGTTAGCAGCCCAGGTCACAGCCTAAACCTAACCCCAGTTAAGAACACACCTTTGCAAGTGCACTTCACTTCACTGGAAGTGGTGGTGTGACTGTAGTGCAGGCACACATATCTGTGCTAGCATGGGTCACAACAGTAGTGTAGATAAACATGGTAGCATGGGCTTCAGCACAGGCTAGCAATGAGAGTACAACCGGCTGGAGGCCCTGCCTACATACTCCGGTCGCTAGCCTGGGCTGAAGCCCAGGCCACCACATCTCCAGTACTATTGTTGCCTGTGTTAGCTAGATCAGTGCTTCTCAAAGTGCCGGTCCGCGAGCCATCGGCTGCCAGTCTGCGGCGAGTTTCCTCATAAGAGCGTCAAATAGGATAATAATATGGCACCGGTCCCTGGCACATTGGAAAAAAAAATTGCCGGTCCCCCCCATCAGATAGCTTGTGAAGCACTGAGCTAGATCACATCATCCCTTGCAGAGCATTAGGAGTAAGGTGGTTGGAGGCTGGCATGGGGTAGGTGCAGTTTGCTCCTCTGGAAGTCACAGGGCTAAGGCCAAGTCCCCAGTGGGACTGCGTAGGTGCAGCTGTGGAAAGGGGCAGCAGTATAGGTTAGACTATTAATGGTATTTCAGTGGGCCTGTTTGTGAAAATACCTTGTGCTCAGGCTGTAGCTCCCTCACCTCCTTCTCCTCAAGGCTTCTAGCCTAGCAGCTGGTTCTCAGGACTGAGTGTTGATTTGCATGGTGATGGCCCACTCTGATTGGGAATTGCAGGTTGGGAAAAGGCTGGCTAGGGAGACCTGCCCCAGGCAGCAGCCAGACCCTCTACTCTGCTGTGCTGTAAAGGCTACTTTGATTTGGGGCTGACTTTAAAAAGGGGATTGTTTGCAAATAAGGAATGACTGTAACACCCGACCTGTGACCTGGGCACAGCTCTTACCGGTTTCAAAAGCCCTGACACAGAGATAAACACAAGGCAAGAGCTGGGGGCAGATTTCACAGCTGGCCCCTGGCTTTCTAATGGGCTGATTGAAACCCCCTGCTCCAGCCAGCCAGCGCCCCGTCCCCTGGGAGAGTTGTGGCTTAGGAGGCCCTGCCCCAGCCCCTGGGCCCGGCTCACACAGCTGATGCACGCGCTGGGACGTGACACAAGCGAGGGCTGAGGTTGCTGGAGCAGGTGCATTTTGCCTGCGCGGCCCCTAGCCGGCGGCCTCGGTTCCTTTTCTCCTTGCGCTGGGTTTGCAGCGTTCCCGTCTCGCCCCTTTCCCTGGAGACGAGCCCCCTTCTCCCCTCCTTCACATGCCTTCCATGATGTCAGCACGGGGGGAGGGAGCTCCCTTAAACCTCCCATTACCCAGCCTCCTGCAGCCATCCGCGAGAAGGCAGCAAACGGGGAACCAGGCAGCGGCTTTGCTGAAGCGTTGGACTAGCCAGAGCCGGGTCTATTGTGCGTCTCCTTCAGCCCGCCAGGAGATGGGTGGCAGGAGGCAATACAGATCCTGTGCCGTGGCAGGGCTTGGCCCCTTGACTGCCAGGCTGGGATCCTGAGTTCACATGGCTCAGCGACAGGAGGAATAAAGCAGCGGAGCGGGGCATACTGCAGGACTTCTTGCCGTCTCTTTGTTCTCGCTATTTCCCCTCAGCGTTATGGCCAGAGGTTTTGTGCAATGAATGTTGCCTCCAAAGCTTTTCTCCGAGCGAATATGGGCACAGCTGTATCCAAGAGGAAGACTCTGAGGAATGATGCTATGTCTTCTGTAGCAGCGAAAGTTAGGTGAGTGATCACTTCGGTCTAGACAAGTTTATTGCAAGGGTGGGATAAAAATAACTACCCAAGAAGATTCTGGCAATGCTGGGAAGAAAACAACGCCTTGCTAAACGAAATGCCAACACAATTCAATGTGATGCCTGGGGTGTGCAGTCTAACTGGGCTAACTGCATTACACATGTCAGCATAGAAGAAATCTGGGTATTTGCCGAGGGCAGGGTGTGTGTGTGAGGGGGCATAATGAGACTCAGTATTGCAGGTGTTTGCATTTGTCTCCTCTCTTTCTTTCCCGTGAAATTCACCAGGCGAGTAGTGCTCGAACATGCAAACATTTTAGATGCCTCATTGTTTTTCCAGACAAGGTAATATCTCTGCAAAGCAAACTAAACTGACAAGACAATCAGGCTGGTTTGTGTGGGTGGGGAGAGAATAAGATGCTGGTTTCCTTGCTCCCTTTAACTTAGGCTGACCTGCTTATTTATTTTTAGCTTTATTCTGGCTTTCCAGTGGGTTTAAATAGCAAATGACATGAGGTGTAAGGAACCATCTGACGAGCGGGAGGCCTGTCAAAACAATCACTCATGGGAATAACACAAACAAATCTCAAGTAATTAATGGCATTGATTTGCAATCAGGAAATCACATTTATATATGTAAAGTTCATATACCAATGACATAACTTTTTGTGTTCCTCAGAAACACCCTGTGGGGCAAAATCTCACTGTCCCTTTGGTTACTGTATGTGTGAGTGAGCACCTCAAGGACTAATAAACAGTGCAGTTCATGCTGCATTTATTATGGGTGCATTAAGCTAATAGAAATAATCTCTCTCTCTCTCTCAACAGTCCTTCTGTAGGGAATGTAACTAATGGCTACTTAGAGTAGGAACATTTTTCAGTAGAAACTACATTGTACCTCTGCATTCTAGAAATGCTGACATACACAGTACCTATAGCCGTATGGCTAATATTTGAAAAATGTCTAATATATGATAAATATTTGCTTATCCTGTGCAAAACAGAAAGTTCACTCCTAAATGTCTGACATGCTAGCACATACGATCATACCATGCAATTCTCTCAAGTGTCGTATAACTGTTTTCAAATGAACAACCTTCAAAGAGTTAATTCATCTGTGAAGGTTCTACCCAGGGCATATTCCCCAGTTCTGCTAGCATCATCAATTGATACTGCTCATTTTGCCCTCTGCCAAATGCCAGCCCCACTGAGGCAGGGGTTTAATGTTTTAATGAGCTAGTCATCAGAGTGTATCCTTTCAATCCTTGTAAATGGCAAATACTTTGAGTTTGCCTGGTTTGGTTTGCATCTGCATGTCTGACCACACAGCTGGTGGTAGCTTTCTCAGTGAGGTGATCTCCTGTAATAAAAAAGCCATCCTGTGAAAAGCCAAACCTACCAAATATCCCCATTTATTGGAATGTCTCAGGCCATTACTTTTACCCTTTGAAAGGTTTTCTTTTCTTAGTACTTGGTCCATGCTATAGAATTTGGGTGTATATTGCCCATCCCTGTTACCTTTTAATATGGTAAGACTGATGAGGAAAGATTAATAAAACTGGGAATTTTCAGCTTGGAAAAGAGCCAACTAAGAGGGATACAATAGAGGTCTATAAAATCATGACTGGTGTGGAGAAAGTAAATAAGGAAATATTATTTACTTCTCATAACACAAGAACTAGGAGTTGCCAAATGAAATGAATAGACAGCATATTTAAAACAAACAAAAGGAAGTATTTCTTCACACAATGCACAGTCAACCTGTGGAACTCCTTGCCAGAGGATGTTGTGAAGGCCAAGATGGGGTTCAAAAAAGACTAAATAAGTTCATGGAGGATAGGTTCATCAATGACTATTAACCAGGATGGACAGGGAGAGCCTCTGTTTGCCAGAAGCTGGGAATGGGCGACAGGGGATGGATCTTTTGATGATTACCTGTTCTGTTCATCCCCTCTGAAGCATCTGGCCCTGGCCACTGTCAGAAGACAGGATCCTTTGGTTTGATCCAGTGTGGCCGTTCTTATGGCTCCTGGGAGATCCTGAAAAACTTCTCTGTTGCTTGATGGGACTTGGGATTTTTTTTTTTTTTAAATAGATGAGCTTCACATCTTAAACTGACTGTGGAATATTGGCCATGAAGATGGCAGAGAGCTGGCTCCATCCCTGCTGTGTGGCAAACACAGCTGCAGCCCTCTAGAGATATTTTCCTTTTGCTTCTTAGTGGCTGCTGGGCTGATATTATGTGGATAATCATAGAGGGAATAGGTCCATTAGTAGCACTGGCTGCTTCCCCAGTCTTAGCCGTTCACTGCTAAGCAGATTGGAGGAAGTGAACTTTTCATATGAACCCAGGGGGAGGCTCTTTTTGCTAGAAAAAATTATAGCCAAGTTCTCTGTAGAGCCCAGTCGATGCTGCGCTGACAAATAGACTTAAAGCAACTTGTCACTCTGAAGCTCTAAGGCACAACATTAAATCCCAATGATGGTAATAGTGGGGTAAGAAGAGAGGAAGTGATGTAGTTAGAAATGGACAGTGCAGAAGGCAATATAGTTCAGATTATTTTTAGGGCTGTCAAGCAATTAAAAAAATTAATTGCGATTAATCACGCGATTAAAAAAAGTTAATCACGATTAATCGCACTGTTAAACAATAATAGAATACCATTTATTTAAATATTTTGGATGTTTTCTACATTTTCAAATAGATTGATTTCAATTACAACACAGAATAAAAAGTGTACAGTTCTCACTTTATATTTTTGATTACAAATATTTGCACCTTAAAAAACAAAAGAAATAGTATTTTTCAGTTCACCTCATACAAGTACTGTAGGGCAGTCTCTTTATCATGAAAGTTGAACTTACAAATGTAGAATTATGTACAAAAAATAACTGCATTCAAATGTAAAACTTTAGAGCCTACAAGTCCACCCAGTCCTACTTCTTGTTCGGCCAATTCCTCAGACAAACAAGTTTGGTTACAATTTGCAGGAGATAATGCTGCCTGCTTCTTGTTTACAATGTCACCTGAAAGTGAGAACAGGTGTTTGCATGGCACTTTTGTAGCTGGCATCGCAAGATATTTACGTGCCAGATGTGCTAAAGATTCATATGTCCCTTCATGCTTCAACCACCATTCCAGAGGACATGCGTCCTTGCTGATGACGGGTTCTGCTCGATAACGATCCAAAGCAGAGCTGACCGACGCATGTTCATTTTCATCATCTGAATCAGATGCCACCAGTAAAAGGTTGATTTTCTTTGTTGGTGGTTCAGGTTCTGTAGTTTCCGCATCCGAGTGTTGCTCTTTTAAAACTTCCGAAAGCATGCTCCATCTCTTGTCATTCTCAGATTTTTGGAAGGCTTTTCAGATTCTTAAACCTTAGGTCAAATGCTGTAGCTATCTTTAGAAATCTCACATTGGTACCTTCTTTGCATTTTGTCAAATCTGCTGTGAAAGTGTTCTTAAAATGAACAACATGTGCTGGGTCATCATTCGAGACTGCTATAACATGAAATATATGGCACAATGCAGGTAAAACAGAACAGGAGACATACAATTCTCCAAGTCGTTCAGTTACAAATTTAATAAATGCATTATGTTTTTTAATGAGCATCATCAGCATGGAAGCATTTCCTCTGGAATGGTGGTCGAAGCATGAAGGGGCATACGGATGTTTAGCATATCTGGCATGTAAATACCTTGCAACGCCGGCTACAAAAGTGCCATGTGAACTCCGGTTCTCGCTTTCAGGTGACATTGTAAATAAGAAACAGGCAGTGGTATCTCCCATAAATGTAAACAAACTTGTTTGTCTTAGCGATTGACAGAACAAGAAGTAGGACTGAGTGGACTTGTAGGCTCTAAAGTTTTACATTGTTTTGTTTTTGAGTGCAGTTATTGGGAGGAAAAAAAATCCTATATTTGAAAGTTACACTTTCTCGATAAATAGATTGCACTACAGGACTTGTATGAGGTGAACTAAAATACTATTTCTTTATAATGTTTACAGTGCAAATATTTGTAATAAAAATAATAATATAAAGTGAGCACTGTACACTTTGTATTCTGTGTTGTAAAAGAAATCAGTATATTTGAAAATGTAGAAAAACATCCAAAATATTTAATACATTTCAATTGGTATTCTATTGTTTAACAATGCGATTAATCGCAATTAATTTTTTTAGTTAATCGCGTGAGTTAACTGTGCTTAATCGACAGCCCTAAGTATTTTAGTTTATAAAGAAATCTGTCCATCAAAGCTTTCAATGCAGCTTCTGGAATGTCTGCCCACAACATGAGGCTAAAATGCACAGTGAATACTTTTTAAATATACATATTCTATAAAGAAGATGAAATTCTCTTCAGCATATGACAGCCCTGTGAGTTTAGCAAGAGGACAGAAGCTGGAGTGTAGATGTTTTAATGTGAAAAATACAACTTTGGTCCAATGGGATTAGAAAGAAATTCTATTGTGGTCCAGAAGAATTCAGATGATGGCATGGATTTTTGACAGATGGCTAATGCTGGGTGTATGGGAATCATTTTGAGGTGCTACTGTTTGTGACTTCATATCTGGAGGAGATAGGTGTTACCCAAATAATACAAATACCGTGGAATCCAGGATTGGGCCAAGAGACGCTTGCTTACTTTGGCATCTGCTGTACAGGTATGACAAGATGCTGTGGTGATTCTTATGTAGGAACTCTTAGATGCCCCTTAATCGGTTCCAGGTCACATGCTGGGATCAGGAAGCATAGCTGAGTGGGCCTGTTCTGGGTGTTCAGCCAGTCAGGTCACAGCACTGGCTGTTCCTAGCTATGGCCTGTGGACCGCCCATACTGCAGAGATGCCAAACTGAAGGGGAGGGAGGGCAGAAAACCTCCTGACAACCCCCCTGCAGAATTCTCCCTGAACTGTTTGGGGGGGGGGGCATGTTCTGTGTGGCAGTGGTTCTGCCCCCAAATCCTATGGAACTGAACACCAAT